GGAAAACTGGTAGTGGTTGAAGAGCATTGTCATTGGCGTGTGTGCGTGTGAGTGGTGCCTGTTGGATTGGCTTTCTTGACATTTCCATACCGAACGATGCCGGTGTAGACGACTTGTTTCCTTCCACGCATTAAACAGTTTTTGGAACCCTAAGTAATGGTATTCAACTAAGTTCGTAAATTCGGAAAACCCAAACAATACCCCTCAGTTTATCTTGAAAGCAGTTTTGTGAGATGAGGAAACTGGAAATTAAAGGGGAATATATAGGCGTGTAATAAATATTATCGTACCGATGAACAGAGCCACACCCCGGATTGATAATGCTTGCATGTCACAGGCATTCCACAGGCCTCTGCTAGCTGCAATAGGTCGTTGCTAGGAGCCATGCCTTAAATTAAATAACATTTTTCCTTTTACTGAATATACAACCCAAGAAGATTCTTGAATTGAAGAAAGATTTAATTAATTTTTTTTAGTCTGTGTAGGATTCAACTCTACGGGGCTCCAAATGCAAGTGAAGGTGGTATCAAGGAGCGGGTAAGCGTCATAGATGCATGAGGGTAGAGTTTTACTGAATAGTAAGAAAGAAGAGCTTCTTCACGACTACTGTAATTTCTGCCTTCTTAAATTATTTCTTTCCGTATTCCCCTTTTCCATCTCATGAAGGTGGTTCCATTCAGAAACTCGACTGTTTTTAATTAATAGATCTTTTATGCTTTGAGACTGAATGGAAAAACTTTACGTTGTCCTAATTTAAAAATAAGATTTGGGCTTAACACGTCATTGAAGAACGGGATTTCCATCTTATGCCGTTACTTAGGTGTTTGGAAGCTCCCTTAGTTCGGCCTACCCGGTGATGGACTGCAATCCTCCTCATGTCAAGTGCGTTACTAGGCTCTCAACACAGCTTCGAGACTAAGCTGTGGTGTCATTTCTCTAGGTGTAGGGCTGCGGGTTATCTCCGACACTTTGCACCGCCTTGTGAAGTATACGCCCGCTTCAAAAGCAGTTGGGCAAATTGGCTGGGTGGGAGAATGAAGGCGTTTGATATAAGTCATTGAATGTCCATAATAAGAAAAGGCCCCATAAAACTATACTAAGACCAGAGGCATAAAAATTTTTACATTTTGGATCCAAACAGGATGCGGTGAGCAAAGTATGCGAGTCTGGCAACTCCTTATGTCCGAATTGGTCGATACAACGTAGATAGGTAGCCAGGTAGTTTTAAAATATCAGTTTTTTT